TACTACTACTACTACTACTACTACTACTACTACTACTGCTCCTGCTCCTGCTCCTACTGCTACTGCTGCTACTGCTACTACTACTGCTACTACGACGACGACTACTATTAGTACGACTACGACGTCTACTACCACTACTGTTGCTACAACAACAACTACTACTACTACTACTACTATTACTACTATGACGACGACGACGACGACGACTACTACTGCAACTGCAACTGCAAGTACAGCTGCAAGTACTTCTACTGCTACTACTACTACTACTACTCCCATTGCCACTACTCCGCTTAGTACTAGTACTAATACTAGTACCACTACTACTTCTACTACTACTACTACTACTACTCCTGCTCCTGCTCCTGCTCCTGCTACTGCTCCTCCTGCTACTGCCACTGGCTATTGCTAGTGCTACTCCCACTGCTACTACTACTTCTACTACTACTACTACTACTACTGCTCCTGCTCCTGCTCCTACTGCTGCTACTGCTACTACGACGACGACGACGACGACTGCGACTACGAGTACGTTTGCAAATACGAGTACTACTACCACTATACTACTACTACTACTACTACTACTACAACTACTACAACTGCCACTACTACTCCTACGTTGACAACTACTACTACTTATACTACTTATACTACTTATACTACTTATTCTACTTATACTACTTATACTACTTATACTACTACTACTACTACTACTACTACTACTACTACGACTACGACTACGACTACGACTACGACTACTACTATTACTACTACTACTCCTCCTGCCACTACTGCTTCTGCAACAACCACGGCAACAACGACGACGACGGCGGCGACGACGACTACTACTTACTACCACTATACTCGCCACCACCACCTTCAAGAAAAGGTTCCATGACTTCGAAAACGAACCAAATGAAATGATCGAGCAGGTGCTTGCAACAAGCACACCCCACGGGAACGATCAAATCCTTCAAAGTAAAAAATAAACACTCAGACCGGTCCTTGTCACTGACGACGACTACGTCACAGTGCCAGCCACTCAGGCTGACGACGACGATGACGAAGTCGACGACGACTAGTATACTTCTACTACTACAAATACGACGACTATAGTGCTACCACTACTACTTCTACTATGACGACTACTCCACACCAGCCATTCAGGCCTTTCTTCGGGCACATGTCGCAGATACCGGTATGGCGGCGGATGGTAGCGAAAAAGGGGCCCTCCAAACGTCGAAGCTTGGACGGCCCCTTTTTCGGCAATCGTGCAACAGCAGGACAACAACAACTACTACTCCTACTCCTACTCCTACTAATCTACTGCTACTGCTGCTACTACTGCGACTGCTACTCCTGCTCATGCTGCTGCTGCTACTGCTACTGCTATTACTGCTACCTTCACGAGAAGATCCCATGACTTCGAAAGCAAGCCAAATGAATTGATCAAGCCTGCAGGGTGTGCTTGCAACAAGCGCACCCCACATGAACGATCAAATCCTTGAAAGCCAAAAGTAAACGCTCAGACCGGTCCTTGTCGCTGACGGCAACAACGACCACAATGACGACGACTAGTACTACTACTGTTACGACTACAAAGACGACGACTATAGTGCTACCACTTAATACTACTTCTACTACGGCGACTATATTCCACACCAGCCGTTGTGGCTGAGTGGCGGCTCAGGATCTTGAGTGGCTGAGCAGTGGCAGAGTGAGTGGCCGCTGTGAACCGCGACCCGGATTGCACATACCCTCCATATCTATGGCCTCCAACCAACCTAATAACGATGGCCTCCAAACTGGACCTGATCGTCGATGGCCTCCTACCGTTTAGCGATGGCCGCCAACCTAATAGCGATGGCCTCCAACCTTTTAGTGATGGCCTCCAACCTTTTAGCGATGGCCGCCAAAGCTAGTAGCAATGGCCTCCACCCTTTTTCAGGTGGCCTCCAGCCCAATATAATGATGGCCTCCAACCTAATAGCGATGGCCGCCAAAGCTAGTAGCGATGGCCTCCACCCTTTTTCAGGTGGCCTCCAGCCCAATATAATGGCCTCCAACCTAATAGCGATGGCCTCCAACCTAATAGCGATGACCTCCAGCTTAATATCGATGGCCTCCAACCTAATAGCGATGACCTCCAACCTTATAGCGATGGCCTCCAACAAAATAGCGAGGCTTCCAACCTTTTAGCGATGGCCGCTAAAGCCTAATAGCGGTGTCCTCCCACGTAATATCGATGGCCTCCAACCCAATATCAATGGCCTCCAACTTAATAGCGATGGCCTCCAACCTAACAGCGATGGCCTCCACCTAATAGGTCAACGTTGACACTAGATTGATTATGCTGCATTCTTGTATCTTTGGGCAATGAAGCGCCCTGTTGGGATTCCTCAGTGGATTCCTCAGGCCAGCCGTTTGGTGGAGCCAGAGCCAGCACTAGAGACGGAGGAGTTCTCCATGAGCGCATTTCAGGCGATTGGATGGTCAAGGAACAGGCGTAGAAATCAAGGTGTTGGATGGAGTTGCAGTGAGTGAGCCAGTCAGTCAGTCAGTCAGTCAGTCGGGAGTTGGCTTTCTCAAACTACATACTGCTGTAGCTGATCCAAAGGTCACGTCCTTGTAAGGACTTTGTTCGTCAAGAGCCTTTCGTGTTGTATGCCTTGACGGTACCATACTCGTGGCAAGAGTTTTACGAAGGCTTGGTGGTTAAAACCCACTTAGAAGCCCCTGCCGTGTGTTGCTTTGTGTGTTGTCCACGCTCCCCCCCCGGGCAGGTGCACCAGAGATTTATAATTGAGCCATGTTGAGCCTTACTAAGGGTTTGCGGTGTGCATGGCAAGGGCCAG